TCTTGTCACCCAGACTGGAGTGCAGTGGCACGCGCCTGGCCACCGCAGCCTCGACCTGCTGGGCTCAGGCGGTCCTTCCGCCTCAGGCTTCCAAGTAGCCAGAACTACAGGCGTGGAACTACCACACCCAGCTCATTTTTTTTCTTTCTTTTTTTTTTTATTGTAGAGACGAGGTCTTGCCAATTTGCCCAGGCTGGTCTTGAACCCATGAGTTCAGGCAATCCACACACCTCAGCCTCCCAAAGTGCTGGGATTATAGGCTGAGCCACTGAGCCCAGCCTGTATTTTCTACAATACACTTTCTATGTATTACTTTCACAACCAGAAAAAAAGTAAACATTAAACTGGAAAAACAACAAATTACAAGAAGAAATTGGTGGTTTTGCAACTGTAAAACCTATGTTCTACTACTCAAGTTTTCGTCTACAAGCAATGAAAACACATAAAGATGGAACATATTTTAAGTGCATGAACACGCATATGTGTACAGCTGTGTGTGTGTGTAGAGCTCTGTATGTGTGTATAGAGCTGTGTGTGTGTGTGTGTGTGTGTGTGTGTGTGTGTGTGTAGAGCTGCCAGCTGAGGCAGAACTTCAGCTAAGAGATTCCTGGCGCACCAGGTCACCCGCTTGGAGGCCCTGCTGGTCTCCACTGGGTAGCTGGGAAAGGGCCACAAGACCTTTCTTACAGGGCCACCGGCATCCTCGGAGCCCTAAGAGGGCCCCAGGCTCCTCGCACAGCCCTACCGGTTCCCTGCCGGTTAACTGGGTTGGCTTGCTGCTATCTCAGCAAACCATTCGAAGAATCCCAGAGCCCACAAACCACTTGTGACCCAGACGTTTTGGCTGAATCCTGCAGGCTCATCTCTGAGCACCACACTCTACCACAGAAAGACAGTCTGCCTGAAAAGCCCAGCTTGCTCCTCCCCCCCACCCCACCCTGTGTTTGTTTTAGCTGGATAAAAGCAACTCTGATTAACAACATTTACATGAACGACTTACCACTTACATCTAATTACCATATGGCACAATAATGATCACGCATGTCGTTAAATATGCGCCAGATTAATGGTGTTGCTCATTGTACTTGATTACCATGACAATCTAGACTGTAATCAGGGTGCAATCAGCTTCAAGGTCATTCACTTACAGTTTAAAAATAATAGAATACTGCAGGGCAGTCATCTTGGGCAACCAGGTCTATTTCCAAAGCTAGGTGGCAACATTTAAAAATAACAATAATAATAAATGACGGCAGCTCCATTCACCCAGGCTCTACCAGGTAAAAGCTTATTATAAGCCTAGTGAGATTTCAACCTCACTCCAATCTTGCAAGGTAAATATCACTTTTCCTATTTTCATAACGGAGGGGACTGTGTGTGTGTGTGTGTGTGTGTGTGTGTGTGTGTGCACGCGCGCGCACCTGTGGGTGTAACGGAGTTAGCAGAGAGAATCTGAACTGAGTGGGCAAAGGGCTTTCAGACGGTGGAAGAGAGAAATGGTGACATTGAAAGACTGTCACAGAGGCTGACAAAGGAGGCGGAGTGTCAAGCTGTGTAAGCCAGGTCACAGGCAGTGAGAAAAGAGGAAGATAAACAAAAGCTTTACCTCATGGCCAGCTGGATGAAGATGTGAGATACGATATAAACAGACAACACCTTGACATCATAATAAGATAAACAACCCATTCACTCTGTACAACACCTGCTCAGAACACTTGCAATTACACAAAATTGTTTCTATGTCTGGTAACATAATCCATTTCCCCCCCCTTGTTTATTTTCTATTACTAAGCGTATAGGAAATTCTGTTTTCTAAGAAGGTGAGACCATAACAATAATAATAAGCAGGTTATGTTGTTTGCTTAGTTTTGTAATTCTCTTTCCCATAACTAAAAGTATATATTTAAAAGCCAGCAGTTATTTTCTTTGTAAGGAAAATAGAAATGCTGGGTTTTCTGAAAGGCTGAGGTCAGCTGGGTATGGTAGCTCCGTCTGTAGTTCCAACAACTTGGAAGGCTGAGGCAGAAGGATTGCCTGAGCCCAGCAGGTCGAGGCTGCTGTGGCCATAAGTGTGCCGCTGCACTCCAGCCTGGGTGACAGAGTGAGATTCCAACTCAAAAAAAAAAAAAGAAAAGAAAGTCATAAGGGGGTCCCAGTAGCTGGAACTACAGACGCATGCCTCCACACCTGGCTATTTTTTGTGATTTATTGTAGAGACGAGGTCTCACCAAGTTGCCCAAGCGGGTCTCGAACCCCCTGGCTCAGGCGATTCTCTCACCCCGGCCCCTCAACATGACGGGATTATAGGCATGAGCCACTGCACCCAGCCATGATTTCCTTAATAACGTTTTATTTGGCTTACTTGACCATAAGAATATGGCACATAATATCTATAACATACATATATGTGTTAATCAAGTGTTTATGTTATCTGTAAGGCTGCCAGTCAACAGTAGGCTATTAGTAAAGTTTTGGGAGAGTCAAATATTATATGCAGCTTTTTGACTGCACAGGGGGTCAGTGTCTCAACCCTTGTGTTGTTCAAGGGTCAACTGTAATACTTCCTTCATGGAATAGTTCAGAATCAAATGATATGATGCACACAGTAAGATGATTAGCACAATGCCAGGTATTTGCTCAATAATTGTTATCACTGTTATATGCTAAATGGTATATTTGTTTATAGATCTAGTTGCTTAAAACAAAAGTATTAAAGTCAAATAAGTGAATGCAAAGGTTACGGAACAGAAAGGTGGCTTGATGGTGGCTTTGAAGAATGTTACACTTACCCATAAATACAGGAAATGTCGATCACCACATCTATCATATCACAGCAGAGCTCATAGGTCTGCATGTCCACTGGAGTACTGTCAGTTGCAATATAAATTTTACTGACCACATCAAATAGAAATGCCTTTTCAATTCCAGAATTCTGAAACGAAAACAAAATGCTTTACACAAATTTAGAAGGCCAAGAAAAAAATTTAAGAAGATATCAGCTGATTTCAGACTGTGGGTGTCGTGACGACATAAAACTGTATGCCACCCTTAATGTAAAATATGAATGAGCAAAAAGTAAGACACTAAAGTTAAATTGTACCATTTTATTACACTTTAAACTTCATTGTCATAGCCTTATTTGTGATGGATGTGCATGAGAAATGAAAAGCAGAATTATCCAGCCAGGCATGGTGGCTCAGCCTGTAATCTCAGCACTTTGGGAGGCCGAGGTAAGAGGATTGCCTGGGCCCGGAGGTTCGAGACCAGCCTGAACAACTTGGTGAGACCTCGTCTCTACAATAAATCACAGAAAACTAGCCGGGCTTGGTGGCATTTGTCTGTAGTTCCAGCTACTTGGAAGGTTGAGGCAGAAGGATCACCTAAGTTCAGCAGGTCGAGGCTGCAATGGTCATGAGTGTGCCACTGTACTCCAGCCTGGGCAAAAAAGAGTGAGACTCCAACTCAAAAAAAAAAAGAAAAGAAAAGAAAAGTTGAATTATCACATATTATTTATTTTAGGTAGACACATTGGGTGGTATTTTCTAATACTTAGAGCTGTACCTGAGTTAGGAAAAGGCCAAGTAAAATTTTGGCTGGGCGTGGTGGCTCAAGCCTGTAATCTCAACACTGTGGGAGGCCAAGGTGAGAGGACTGCCTGAGCTCGGGGATTCGAGACCAGCCTGGGCAACTTGCTGAGACCTCGTCTTTTCAACAAATCAAAAAATTAGCTGGGTGTGGCAGCACATGCCTGTAGTTCCAGCTCCTTGGAAGGCTGAGGTGGAAGGATCGCCTGAGCCCAGCGGGTCTAGGCTGTTGTAGCCATGAGCATGCAAATGCACTCCAGCCTGGGAGACAGAGTGACACTTCGACCCAAAAAAATAAGTGAATTTTAACCGGGCTCAGTGGCTCAGCCTGTAATCCCGCGCCTTGGGAGGCTGAGGTGAGTGGATTGCCTGAGCCTGAGGGTTCGAGACCCGCCTGGGCAACTTGGTGAGACCGCATCTCTACAAGAAATCAAAAACTAGCCAGGCGTGGTAGCGCGCGCCTGTAGTTCCAGCTACTTGGAAGGCTGAGGCGGAAGGATCGCCGGAGCCCAGCAGGTCGAGGCTGCAGTGACCAGAAGCGGCCACTGTACTCCAGTTTGGGCGACAGAGTGAGACTCCAACTCAAAAATAATAATAATAATAATAAGTGAATTTTACTGACTGTAAATTTTTAAAATCTAAAGCAAACTCACTCAAAATTGTGTAGTAACAGAGTAAATTTGAGTACAGCTGACAGGTCTGCCTCAATTTCCATCTACACAGCCTCCTGGAGCTAGCGGCTGTCATCTCATTCAGCACATCATCCACACAGTGTTACTGCCAAAACCAAATTTGATGCTCCTTACCTCTAGTTGGACTCTATCTATTAGTATTGGATAATTGCCCACAACTTGAATATACACTCCAATTGTACCAGTGAAGCACAGGAACCCACTTGGAGAGTTAAAATTTAAAGGATCTAAAACAATGTATAGGGGTAATCTTCAAAAGTAATACTTCAATGACCTTGAACCACCCCGTGTATAAGCAGAAATGAAATCTTTTTCATTCATACCATGTTATTTTCTTTTTTCTTTTTTTGAGTTGGAGTCTCACTCCGTCACCCAGGCTGGAGTGTAGTGACACGCTCATGACCACTGCAGTCTCGACCTGGTGGGCTCAGAGATCTTTCCGCCTCAGCCTTCCAAATAGTTGGAACTAGAGGCGTATGCCACCACGCCCAGATAATTTTTTGTTTCATTGTAGAGACGAGGTCTCACCAAGTTGCCCAGACTGGTCTCGAACCCGTGGGCTCAGGCAGTCCTCTAGCCTCAGCCTCCCAAAGTGCTGGGATTACAGGCATAAGCCACCACACCCGGCTTGCAATGTGACTTTCAAACTCCACAAGTGACTCGAACAGGAGCATGTTATTTACTTACAGATATAAAGATGTTCAGCAAGTTCTCCAGCGTTGGGAGTTGAGGAATCAGCTTCTGAACCACTTTGCTAAAAGCTTCAAATATTGAGTGATCGTATATGCTTGTCAGATAAAAGCTGAAAGAGGAAACAGCACTGTATTTTATCACATTTTCCCTTTGACTGAGGAACAGACCGCTGAGGCTATGTCACAACACCAGTGATCTGCTTTCTGCATCTACGGTTCTATGGGCTAGCCTCCTTTGGAACTCACAAGGACCCCGGTAAAAAACAAGCATATCTTAACAAGCCATTCCACCTCACCCCCCGAAAAGCCAGATCTGTGCTTGTTATCATCTGCTGACTGGAAAGCCTAATCGTGCACCAGAAGTGTCTAGTCCAGCTTCCTTAGCGTCTGCAAGAGAATACACACCAGGTCGTTTCTAAGCAAGCCTCTTAGGTTGCCCAAAGAAACAGTTACAGTATTAAAACCGAAGCATCTCATTTTTTAATTTTCGAATTTGCAAAAGGAATGATGCCATTAACTAGCCCACAGAAGATGATGGAGAAATTATTTTCTTATGTCTGTCTGGTTTATTTTTAGACTACTGTCTTACTCATGATGATAGATGATACCATATTTACCAAGAACTATCAACTTCAGCATCTACTAACTTCCTGAATTATAGTCAAGGGCTGTACGTGAAGTGTTTTTCATATGGAGGAAGAACCTCAGCTTTGACCATTTGTTAAAAAAACAAAAAATGGCTGGGCAGTGGCTCATGCCTATAATCCCAGCACTTTGGGAGGTTGCAAGAGGATTGTTTGAATCCAGGGGTTCAAGACCAGCCTGGCACAGAGTGAAACCTTGTCTCTACAAAAAAATCCAAAAATGAGCTGGGTATGGTGGGTGCACAGCTGTAGTCCCAGCTACTCAGGATGCTGAGATGGAAGGATTGCCTAAGCCCAAGAGGTCAAGGCTACTGTTGGATTGTGATCACTGTGATCATGCCACTGCACTCCAGCCTGGGTGACTGAGTGAGACCCCCAATAAAAACAAATAAAATAGGCTGGACATGGTGGCTCAAGTCTGTAATCCCAGCACTTTGGGAGGCCAAGGTGAGAGGATGGCCTGAGCCAGGGGTTCGAGAGGATTGCCTGAGCCCAGCCTGAGCAACTTGGTGAGACCTCATCTCTACAATAAATTTAAAAATTAGCCAGGCGTGGTGACGTGAGCCTGTAGCTCCAGGTACTTGGAAGGCTGAGGCGGAAGGATCACCTGAGCCCAGCAGGTCAAGGCTGCGGTAGCCGTGAGCGTGCCACTGCACTCCAGCCTGGGCGACAGAATGAGTCTCCGACTCAAAATAAAATGTTTTTAAAATCCCCCAAAATAAAATAACACTGCTTTTACTGGAGATTAGAATTAGCATATGCAAAGCTCATTTTCCTCAAATCCTAGGCCAGTCTACAGCACAAAACAGGGCGAACGAGGTGACAACTGCCCATGCCAAGCCAACGGAACCCCAAACCTGCTTTGCCATCCATTGCCGGGATCCCTAAGTGCGTTCTGTTCTCACCTGAGGTGAATTTTTTCTAATCCAGCATCGGCAAGGTCATCGTTTGCCCTCTGGTGAATATCTCTTTGGGTTTCAATTTTGTGGTCATCTGACAGACCATCCACTTTATGGATGAAGACCTCGAAGTTGATGTCGGTATTCACTTTGTAGGCCCGGGTCACCGTGAGGTGGAGCCTGGCCAGGGCTTCCATGTAATCATCCTAGGACCAAAGGCAACGCCTGTGAGGGGAGACCATTTTGCTTCCTGAACCTTCCACACACACACTCTTCAGCTGGAAGCCATGCCGCCACAAGCCCTCAAAATACTTTGCAAAAGCTCCCTCCTAAAAGTTGATTTCTTAGAATTCAAGTTTGAAGATTTAAGTTTCGGTAACAAAGAGAAGAAAAAGAACGACTAAAAACAAAATGCAGCTGTTCAGGCAGTTATGACTTAGTGGATGACCCTTGTAAAGATCAGAACTAGCCGGGCTCGGTGGCTCAGCCTGTAATCCTGCGCCTTGGGAGGCTGAGGTGAGTCGATTGCCTAAGCCCGCGGGTTCGAGACCCTCCTGGGCAACTTGATAAGACCTCATCTCTACAATAAATCAAAAAATCAGCCGGGCGTGGTAGCGCATGCCTGTAATTCCGGCTCCTCGGAAGGCTGAGGCGGAAGGATCGCCGGAGCCCAGTGAGTGGAGGCTGCGGTGGCCGGGAGCGGCCACTGCGCTCCAGTCTGGGCGACAGAGTGAGACTCCAACTCAAAAAAAACCAAAAAACCCAAAAAGATCAGAACTGCAGTTTTAGGAAGAGAAAAGGACCTCACTTAAGCCCCTCCCTCGAATACTGTTCAAGTCTCTGTGATGAACAAGGAGGGACAGACACATGGTGGGGGCCACCAGGTACATGCCAAGGCAAGAGGACGGCCTGAGCCAGGGGTTGTCGCCCAGGCTGGAGTGCAGTGCCACGCTCACGGCCACCGCAGCCTTGACCTGCTGGGCTCAGGTGATCCTTCCACCTCAGCCTTCCAAGTACCTGGAACTATAGGCTCCTGTCACCACGCCTGGCTAATTTTTAAATTCATTGCAGAGATGAGGTCTCACCAAGTTGCTCAGCCTGGGTTCAGGCAAACCTCTCGAACCCCTGGCTCAGGATGGGGAAGGAGCTGGGGGAACAGTGGAAAGAACCATTGTCAGGGCAGAAGTCAGCAGCACACCATGCCCGTGGGCCCACTGCCTGCTTTCTGTGAGTGACACCGGACCCCAGCCAGGCTTCTTTGTTAGCACAAGGACTGAGGCTGCTTGCGAACTGCAGCAGCAGAGCTGAGTAGTCACCCCCTAGAGCCAGTCCGTACAACAGTCCAGCCTGCAAAGTTAAGCTACCTGCCGCCCAGTCCCAGACAGAAAACGCTTGCCAATCCCCGGTCTAAAGTAAGTAACTGCTCCAAACAACACAATACTATTCTTTCTCTCCTTCCCATAATGAACACCCATGTATCCATCGCTCTGTTTAAGAAATGAAATGTGGCCAGGCATAGTGGCTCACGCCTACTGTAATCCCAGCACTTTGGGAGGTGGAAGAAAGAGGATTGTCAGAGTCCACAGGTTCAAGACCAGCCTGGATAACTTGGCGAGATCTCATCTCTACAATAAATCAAAAAGTTAGCCAGGCATGGTGGCACAAGCCTGTAATTGCAGCTACTTAGAAGGCTGAGGCAGAAGGCTTGCTGGAGCCCAGCTGGTTGAGGCTGCAGTGGCTGTAAGCATGCCACTGCTCTCCAGCCTGGATGGCAAACTGAGACTCCAACTCAAAAAAAAAAAATAGAAAAATTAAATAAAAATTTAAAGAGCTGAGTGTGGTGGTGCCTATAATCCCAGCACTTTGGAGGCCAAGGTGAGAGGATTACCTGAGTCCAGGGGTTCAAGACCAGCCTGGGCAACTTGGTGAGACCTTGTCTCTACAATAAATCCA